TTATTTGATATTAGAAAAATGCAAATTTAAGTCATAATGAACACTACCATGCGCCTATTAGAATAGCTAAATTAAAATAATACTGACAACACCAAATCCTAACAAGGACACAAAGCAACTGGAACTGTCATACACTGTTGAAGGGAATGCAAAATGGTATAGCCACTCTGGAAAACAGTTTGGTAGTTTTTTATAAAGTTAAACATTCAATTATCATATGGCCCAGCATTTGTATTCTTGAGTATTTATCTCAGAAAAAAAAATGTGAGTTCACACAAAAACCTGTACACGATTCATAATCACCAAGAGACAGAAAAAAAAAACCTGTTTTTGTAACAGGCAAATGGATAAACAAACTATGGTATAGCCATGTAATCAAATACTACTCATTGATTACGAGGAACAAACTATTGACACACCAACTTAGATGAAACTTAAAGGCACTGTATTAAGGGAAAGAAGCCAGTCTCAAAACATTACATACTATATGGCTTCATTTATAAGACATTCTTGAAAATACAAAACTTGTCAAAGTGTTTGACCAGAGTTAGGATTGGAAGGAGGGATGTGGCCACAAAGTGGCAACCCAAGTTTTAGGAATTTGGGAAACTGTTTTATATTTTTATTGTGGGAGTGACTACATAAATCAATACATGCATTAATATTTGTAGATCTATACACTAAAAAGAGTCAATTTTACCATGCAATAATTTGTTTAAAATGCAAAACAAAAAAATACACTCCCAGAATCTGATCAATTCTCACCACACCTGCCACCCTGGTCCAGGTCTCCATATTTCTCATCTATGTTATTATAATAGCCTCTTAACTGGTCTCTCTACCTCCTCTCTACTACACATTCAATTCTCAATAGAGTGATCCTTTGAAAATATAAGCTGAATAATGTTACTCTCCTGCTCAAAAGCCTCCACTGGCTCTCATACAGCATTAAAACTGAAGTTCTCACCATGGCTTGACAGTAGTAAGGTTCTCCAGGAACCTCTCTGGTCTCTTTTTCTGTGAGTTTTCCTTACTCACTGTGCTCCAGCTGCACTAAACTGGCTTGCTGCTGTGTGAACATGCTGGGCCTTTGCACTGGCTGTTCCCTCTTCCTGGAACATCCTTCCTTCAAATAAGTCAATGGTTTCCTCACCAACCTCATTGAACTCTTTGCTTTAACTTCATCTTCTCTGTGGAACCTACCCTGACCACTATTTAAAACTGCATCTCTTTCTGCATTCCCCACTTCAACTTATCATTTATTTTTCTTCACGGCATTTGTCATCTTCTAACATGCTCTGTTACTTATGTGTCTTAGTCCATTTGTGCCGCTATAGCAAAATGCCTGAGACTGGGTAATTTATAGACACCAGAGATTTATTTCTCACAGTTCTGGAGGCTGGGAAGTCAAGATCAAGATGCTGGTATTCAATGTCTAGTAAAGGCCTAGTCTTTGCTTCTGAGACAGTACCAGAGTGGGGAAGAATGTTGTGTCCTCACATGGTGGAAGAAATGGAAGGATGCAAAAAGGGCAAGCAAAAATAGATTTTTGAAATATGTTTTATAATAATACTAATCCTCATTCCATGAGGGCTCTGCCCTCATAACTTAATCAACTCCTAAAGACCCCACATCATAATACTATCACATTGTCAATTAAGTTTGGAGGACACATTCAGACCATAGCATTATGTATTACATTTGTTTTCTGTGTCCCCAACATACACACAAATATAAGGTCTATAAGGGCAGAGCTCTTGCCTGTTCATTAATGTATCTTTAGTGACTGACACATGGAAGATTCTCGATAAATATTTATGGAATGAAGAAAGTGAAGCAGGGAGGAAGTGAGGAAAAGGTTAATTTGTCATTAGCCAAGTGAGTAAGAGGAGAGGATGAGGAGGGTGTCATGGAAGAGCTGGTGACTGCAGAGCCTTAAACTGGAGCTGTGTGCATGCTCAGAGGGCAAGAGTACAGAGGTGTGGGAAGAGTGCTGATGCAGAGAGGGAAGCAGGAATCAGCTTTAAATGCCACACTAAGGAATTTGGGCTTCGCCTTTAGGTTAAAAGCTGTTAAGATCTAAGAAACATGATTATATTTGTGTTGCATAAAGATAACTCAGCCCCAATGTGGACAGTAAATTGAGTAAGGGCAGTGAGTTAGTTGGGAGGCTGATAATAATCTAGTAACTAGTTATCTAAGCCAAAATTTATGATGACCTGAACTAAGACTTTGGCCTTGTTAACAACACAGAGGGCACATTTCAGAAATATTTAGCAGAGTCACCAGGACTTCTACTGAAATGTGAGAAAGATTAGAAATCAAGGATGCTCCCCTATCCCATCCCAGCCACCTGCCAGATTCTCTTTGTGACTCTGGGAAGGCAAGCGCAGATGAATCGTTTTGGCAAAGATTCCAGTAGTAAATTACTTGTAATGCTGCAAACACCATTCTTACACTGTGGTAAGTTACATCCACTGTTTCTTTCGTCCAGAATACCTTTCTTTTCCATCTTGCTAACTCCTACTTTAAGTTTCAGCTCACAGATCCTGACTTGGCTTATAATTCTTATGAAGAATATGCTCAAAGAACTTAGCAACATCAGAAAAGGGAAGATGTAGGAACTGATAATGCAGTTATTGGACAGTTTATGGAAATGGGGATTGATTTCACTTAAAAAGCAAGCATTTTCCATACCAGCAGGAGACTTCTGTCCTAGATATATGATATTGTAATGTAAGTGGTCCACAAAGCTCATACTGTTATAAGCTCATACACAGAACTCACTGGAGTTATAAAAATAAAAATATTAGCTTTATACTGTCAATGCCAAATGTAAATACAGTAATTCTATGTGTCCCTCTGATATTTGACCTTGAACAAGTTTTTCAGCCCACTTTTGCCTCTGTCTTCTTGTCATAAAAGACAAAATGATCTCTCAAAGCTACTTCGACTCCCCAAATCTTGGATTTTGCTTTTCTTTCTCTGCCAAGAAGTCAGAGAAAACTATACATATTTTACAGACAGAAGCCCTTAGAGAGAAGGAGACTTCCATTTGAACAGACCTAAATAAGAGCCTATCTCCCATCCAGATGCCTGCTCCCATGAGATGCCCATCATCTATCTTTTGAAACACCGAAAACAATTTTTTTTAAAAACAAAAAATAATTTGATTTTAATGAATATGTCATTTGCTGACAAACAAACGGCATAATTTTTCTTCTACTCTTTTGCAACTAAAATAAATTTAAGTCAAGGTTTATCCTGGAGAGTTGTTGTTGTTGTTGTTGCTAGCTGTTGCAAAATAGCTAAAAGTTGTTTTGTAATAGAAATGCTGACTCAAACTCAATTACTGTGGGAGTTTGAACAGACTGTCCTTTTTTTAAGAAATAAGAAAGCAATTGGGTGTTGATGTAGATATTTATATGTAAGGGATCATCGTTTAAAAGACTGCAAAAGAATGCTAAATATGAAAAGAGGTTGCAGAGGATTATAGGGTGAGAAAGTGCCAGAGTTATTTTTAAAATATATAAGTTGTATATGTTATATTTTTAAAGTTAAATCTGATAAAACATTTTATAATAAAAAGCAATATAATAATAGAAACGAAACCATAGATACAGGAAGATCAGAGAAAACTATGCAGGCAAATACTAAAAAAACTATACCTGGCCATATCATATTCAAACTGCAGACAGTCAAAGACAAAGAGAAGATCTTGAGAGAGGCCAGAGGGGCAAAAGCACCTTATGTGGAGAGAAACAAACTTCCTTTCAGAAACGATGCAATCAAGCAAGAAAAACAAAACCCAGCCTAGAATGCTACATCCAGTAAAATTATCCTTCAAAAGTAAAGGAGAAATAAAAATTTCCACAGACAAACAAAAATTAAGAGAATTTGTTACCAGTAGATTTGCTTGGCAAAAAAAAAATTAAAAGAAATCCTTTAGAGAGAAGGAAATTATATAGATCAGAAACATAGACCTACATTTACAAAGGCAGAGTGTTGAAGAAAGAATAAATGAAAGGCATTCTCAGTTTCCTCCTCTGGGTGCTGGTGCCATGCCCAGCTCTCAGAACCCCACCCAAAGTGAATAATACAGACACTCAACATGATAGATAGTTGGCTTAAAGAGGAGTAGAAGACTTGCTTTTCCCATCCACAGCCACAACCTCTACATTTAAAGATACCGAAAAGGACATAGCAAATTATCTGGCCTGTGGAAGGGAGAAATATTCCAAAGAAATTTGACAAAACCGTAAATAAGAAAAATGATGAAAACGTCGTCTTCTCAGCTTTTATAGATGTTAATAATAATCCATACTGTGTTATATGATGGAAAATTTTCACATAGTATCATGATGCCAGTTAAGTTGTGGCATCATTTTGAGACCAATCATTGAGAATTTTTTTAAAGGGAATTAAATATTGTAAGTGTAAACATTATGAGCCTGTTAAAAGTCAAAAGTTATTACAGCTTCTCAAACTAGAAATAAACAGGCTACTGAAGCACCTACAGGTTACAATTTATTTTTATTTTTCTATATTTTTATTTTTATTTTTTTGAGACAGAGTCTCCCGCTGTCACCCAGGCTGAAGTGTAGTGGCATTATCTCAGCTCAATGAGGCCTCTGCCTCCTCAGTTCAAGAGATTTCTTATGCCTCAGCCTCCTGGATAGCTGGGATTACAGGTGTGCACCACCATGCCTGGCTAATTTTTTTATTTTTAGTAGAGACAGGTTTCTTCACGTTTTCCAGGCTGGTCTTGAACTCCTGGTCTCAACTGATCTACCTGCCTTGGCCTCCTACAGTGCTGAGATTGCAGGCACGAGCCATCTGTGCCTGGCCCTAATTATTAATATGGTAAATATCAATTGCTATGACTCATATAAACAAAAAGCTATTTGAGATCTCTCCTCACCTTTTTTTTTTCTTCTAAGACTATAGTGTTCCTGAAGCCAATGAGATAAATTGAGACGGAATCTCGCTCTATCTCCTAGGCTGGAGTGCCATGGCCCGGTCTTGGCTCACTGCAACCTCCACCTCCCAGGTTCAAGTGATTTTCCTGCATCAGCCTCCTGAGTAGCTGGGATTAAAGGTGCGCACCACCATGTCTGGCTAATTTTTGTATTTTTAGTAGAGATGGGGTTTCGCCATGTTAGCCAGGCTGGTCTTGAACTCCTGACCTTGTGATCAGCCTGCCTCTGCCTCCCAAAGTGCTGGGATTATAGGTGTGAGCCACTGCGCCTGGCCTGTGGCTACTTCTTTAAATAAAATGTTACGTCATTCTTTCTTGAATTATCAATTTTAGGTATCAGCTATTGGAGTTCTGTCACAATTGATGAGAATTTAGGTCTTTCACAATTTTGGAAGGTAGCACTATTCTCATTCCTCCTTTGGTTGCCTCCACAATCACAATCTCCCATGACATACCTACATCTCCATTTCTGTGCTACCACCTTGACTCCCACTCTGTAAAACTGGTGTTAGAACTCTCATCCTTCCCCCATCCTCCCCACTCCTGTAAGTTCAGGAGTGTAAAAGTTCATTGATACTTTTATATTAATCTTTTGTAAACCTTTACATTCTGGTTTGTGATCTGTCTAATGTTTAATTCTAAAAGGACAAAAACCTGTAAGTGGAGCTTAATTACACCTATATAAATATAGTGCACTGCAGGACTAGTAAAATAAGATCACGATACTTTTTTACAAGTTCCAGTGTCATGACTGCTATGCTCCTAAAATCCAGTGGGATGGATTTCCTGTTTTTGTGCTCTTGCAATTGCCTTTACTACATTCTGAAGGTCTCTATCATGATTTCTGTTCTATTCATTCTTACTGCCTGGAGATCCTTCTCCCAGAGCCATTAATCCTCATATTCCAAAGTGGACCAGTCACTTTTAGGTCTACTGCACAGCTATTGTTCTGGAACAAGATGTCACTGCTCTTGTAGATTGTACTGATTGTTCCTGAAAACTTCTTGGTTACTTATTGCTGCAAAAATGCTGTGTAACCATAATGCTATATAACAAGCAACTGAAATCTCAGTGGCAACAACAAACATTTTCTCTTTACCCTGCTTCAGACTATTGGTTGAGTTCAAGCCTACTTCATGTATTTTTTTATTTAGTGCCAGCAGCTGTCTGGAGCACACTTCTCTTGTGGAAAATGAGAGAAGACAGAGAGAGACCAAGACAAGCCAAATAAGCATATGTAAAGCCTCTATTCATATTGCATTCATTATAGTCCACTAGCTGAAGCAATCATGTGAAGCAAATCACATGTCCAACCCAACACCAAATGAGTAGGAGAAAATATTTCACCTACCCTAGGGGGAGGCAGGACCAAGTCACTTGGAAAAGGCATGGATGTGTATATTGACAACAGGGGAGAGGAGAACAATAAAGAACAATCATCTAATCCACCACAGGAACTTATGTTTTACTCACTACTACCTTGTTTTGTTGGAGAGCATCCTCTAATAACTTCCTAAGGAGGCGGTATGGTAGGTAAACTTTCTGAATTGTATGTGTCTATAAATGTCTTTATTCTCCCCTCATACCTGACAAACATCGTTGAGACCCTTGCTCCATGCTCTTCTATAATAGCATCCCACGTTGCTGATGGGAAGTTTCTTATCAGGCTGCTGCTTTCTCTTTTTTTAGGTGACCCGTTCTCTCTCAATATTCTCTTTACCCTGAAGTTCTAAAATGCCTCAGTGACATAGAGGTAGGTAATTTTTTTCTTTACTGTACCAAGTATGCAGTTGGCCCTCTCAAACTGAGAATTCTATATAGAGATTTTTAATAAAACCCTCTGTTTCATTGCACAGGTTACTCCTGACCTTCTTTGTACCTGTTGTTTATAAGTATAAAGACTGAAGCCTTCTACCTCTCCAGACAGAATATACAGGATCGTGTGTGTGTGTGTGTGTGTGTGTGTTCACACAGGATCATATATATAATATATAATATGTTACATATATAATATAAATATACACACATATATAGGCTGCTGCTTTCTCCAATTCATTTAATCACTTTCTTTGTATCCCAGAATTTTTTAGATTTCTGCCTGTCTATGGATGGTCTTTGTCCATTCTCTTTACTTTGTGGAGTTATAGCACTTAAAGCATTTGATTGATACCTCACGAGAGAGAGGTAATAAAATTGTATGCCTAAGATAGCATGTTGATTTATTATCTCAATATTTCATTCTAAGTATATTTTTCATTTCAATATATTAAAATTATATTTCAATATATTTAAAATATTTTTGAAGTGGCAGGCTGTACCAGATAGCATAACATTTAAATAATGTGGCTATGTTAGTATCCATATTTTCAAAGATAATTAGTTTGAATGTGATTATTTAATTTGCAAAAGAATTTGAAATGTTACAAAGTTAGCTAGTTTCTCTAAGACAGTTCTGTCCAACAAAACTTTTTGCAATGATAGAAATGTTCTCTGTCTGTGCCAACCAAGACAGTAGCCACCAACCTCCTATGGCTATTAAACACTTAAAATGTGGTTAGTGCTACTAGAAAACTGAATTTTTAATTTTATTTCATTTTTATTGTTTTAAGTTTAAATAGCCACAGGCGGCTAATGGCTATCATATTGGACAATGTGCCAGGGATCAATCAATGTGCCACCTTCATCATGTGAGGATACATGCAGCAAGAAGACACCATCCATGAGGCACAGGCCCTCACAGACACCACATCTGCTGGCACCTTGATCTTAGACTTCCCAGCCTTCAGAACTGTGAATAATAAATTCTGTTGTTGATAATTCTGTTGTTTAATTTCGTGATTAAATCTCCCAAGTTAAAAATATGTTTTTAGGCATAGGTCACCTGTGTCAAGAAAATTATACCTGAAGGGGATAGTCATGAGGAATCTAATAAGACACATGACCAAGTATAAGCTTTTTTATGATTTATACCAAAGAATGTACTCATTCTCCCAGTAAATATTTGAAGGTTATGTACTGTATGTAAAGCACTCTGCCTGGTATTAGGGTTACAAAATTGCAGACACACAAAGCACTCACCCTCCAAGATCTTTCAGTCCATTGAGGAAGAAGGTATACAACTAACCAGTAAGTATAATAGAAGATTGCCTTACCTGCCTACGCTGAAGGGTAAGAGAAAAGTGATTACCCAGGACACCCAGTTAAGCCTTTACTTAGGAAGTAGCATTTAAGTCCTGACTTGAAGCTGGGTAAGACTCTTCTGGGAGATTAATGAGCAGAATATTTTAGGCAGAGAAAGAACAACAGGGCACAGGCACGGAGACAGGTACTAGAAAGGTAAGCCACTTGATATTGCTAGAACCTAGAGTACAATTGTGGGAATATATTGGAAAATGAGATTGGCCAATCAGGCGAAAGTGGCCAACAACTGTAGTGTGAGAAGAGCTATGCCACTTTCATTGCAGGGAGATAACATATAATCCTGACATAATGTAGACCCATTGAGTTGAAAGAATAGTGAACTCACTGTATGTTCTGACCCAACCCTCTTCATTCACTCAATCAAAACATATTTTTCAATGCTCTCCTAAGTCTTTTTTATACTGCTAAATGGGTTTAAGAAACTGGTGAAAGAGTAAATTTTAACTCAGTTGCTATGATCTAAATGTGTCCTACCAAAATTTATATGTTGAAACCTAATCTTCAATGCAATAATGTGAAGAGGTGAGGCCTTTGAGAGGTAATTAGGTCATGAGGATGGAGACATCATGAATGGGATTAGTGCCCTAATTAAAGAGACCTGAGGGAGCTCACTTGTCACCTTCATCATGTGAGGATACATACAGCAAGAAGACACCATCCATGAGGCACAGGCCCTCACAGACACCACATCTGCTGGCACCTTGATCTTAGACTTCCCAGCCTCCAGAACTGTGAGTAATAAATTCTGTTGTTGATAAATTATCCAGTCTGTAGTGTTGTGTTATAGCAGTTCAAATGGACTAAGATACCAGCATCAACTGAAATGAGGACAAATCCCCAATTAGAGGACTCCCACACAATAAAAATATTTAAAACAATGATGAATATCAACTACATAATTTCTCCACTCCAGAGAACACAAAATTTAACTCCAATGTAGAACTGTTGGGTAACAAAGTTTGGTCCAATTGCTCTTGCACTTTCTAATAAATCTTAAATGTGCTTTTGTTAATTACTTATGGGCAGATACATCATCTTACCTATTTTTTTAAGTTTGCAATTTTGATTTGTTTACATCAAAATTGGTTGAGGCTGGGTAAATTTGGACACTTGGAAAATTAGTTCCTCTAAATAGTTATTTCTCCCTGGGAGTTTGAGACCATACAGCCATAAACTAATCCCATTAAGAGATGGTAATTTTTGAAATACATGTTCTAGGGAAGGGCAGGGAATACAGATAATAACTGACTTAAGATTTCTATATGCTTTAAATTTCTCAGAACCAAGACATAATAAATACAAAGTATCACTTCCCATCCTTAAAAATACATATGTATACATACAGGAAAAAATCGCTAAAATACTATCAATTAAAGTCATTGGAAATAAAGTTCTGAGTTAACACAGTCAAAAATAATAATAAAAAAAAACTTGCCAAGGTGTCATGACCTAATCTTATTGTTGAGTTCAATGTTTCCATTTTAAATCCCTATTTTCTGGTCTATAACTTACTCCAAAATGTTCCTTTTGACCTTTGAGTCTGATATTTCTCTTGCCTTCATCTCAATCCAAAGGCGAATTTATTTGCAATTTGTTCTAAATCTCTTCAGTTATTTCAGTTACTTGAGTTTGAAGAAAATACCTGCTTTTGCTTTCAGAAATTGTTCATATTTTTTCCATGTTCAAATTGCTTTAAAAAAAGATTTTGTTTTAAAGCTATAGTATTGACATAAATGTACTAAAGATCCAATTCAAAAATAGTTGGTTAAGAAATTTGGATTGAAGAACCAGAAATGATGAGACTCCATAGCATGTAATTACATGGAGGCAGATGCACACCTCTTTCCCACAGCCATCATGCATGTGACAATAATCACAAGGCGGGTGTGAGAAAAGAAAGGTCAAAACCTTAAAGAAAGATCAAAAGCTACCCCCAAAAATAAATTTAAAGTGTACACTGACTTTTAAAGGCATGAAATAGTAAACGGCCCCAACTCCCAAGCCCACAAAGGGGACATGTAAATGGTACATATTAATTCACGAAGCACATATGAAACATTAAAAGGTACATAATAACATCCACGTGACTTTTGCCAGAATTTGGAGAAGATGATGCAAAGGCAGTACTGGGAGTGGGATCCTCTGGATTCTACCTCAGGTTTTCTTCTGACTTTTACTTATGACTCCAGGTTGAGCCTCTAATCTTGCTTTAATATCCTCTCCACAAAATGGAGGCTGACCTGATATGCTAGTGTGCTGAAAAGAATTAACCCTCCCATCTGCACCTTTTGAGGACATTCATTTCAATAAGTAACTTTCACATCTACTGAAACTTAGGCCCTATCTGATACTGTGGCTATGGAGATGGATAAGAAAAAAAGGTTTCCTTGGAAAATTTCTTGAATGTGAGAAAAACTAATGAAGTAAAATAACATAGGATAGGTATAAACATAGGGGTTATTTTCAATAAGAACAGACAACAATTAGAGACCACTGCTTTCAAGAAAAGAAAGAGAGATAGGCAAGCAAACATAGTATACAGATAGAGAAATATATCTAGACATAAATTCCTATATACCCCAAATGGGAAATTTTAAAATTCTACATAATTGCCATTAATCTCTCCCCACCCTCAGCCTAGACCAAGCCTTTCCAAATAAACATATGATCTAAATAAAATCAGTATTCTGGCTAAACAAATACATTTGCAAGGCAGGTCCCTTAGTAACTCACCCAACTTCTTTCCAACCAGATTGTAACCTCCGAGCCCTTCTTACACAGAAATTCTATGGCTCTCAAAGAACAGTCCCTCCAGATAAAATTATCTGCCTGAAAATAACTATTTTCTCCTACAAACTTCCAGAGCACTTTATATCTGCTTCTTCAAGAACAATTACTGATTTTCTTAGATTCTAATGTACAGTCTTTTCACATTTCAAATATAAACATGCGTCTTGCAATCAACTTAAAGTAAGATTACTTTAAGGTTTCCTTTGCCCAAGAATACGTCATTAAATTGATGATGGATCTTGCTCTGATTCATTATTTCAACAAATTATTTTTATTGTCATCTTTATTTCAATTTATAAATACATTTGTTTAATATGCTAATCCTGGATTTGTTTGTTTTCAGAAAAACTGAAGACTTCAAAGAGTTTTATGTGAATTATAAATATTTGCATTAAAAATTAAAACTGACACAGAAGTCTTTAATGAATGGCATCTAGATTCTGATGCATTCTATAGTCTATTCATTCTGTTGTGTACCAGTCACATAGTTACTTGGAAACTCCGCTGTTTATTTGAAAATGGTGAAAAAGGCTAAGTAATACCTAATGTCATTATGACAAGTTTTGACCTCACAGGCACCTGGAAGAGCCTCTGGGCCTCCTAGGTGAAAGGACCACACTGTCTTAATAGACCTGCCCTTATGGCATGCCTTCTAGAATTCCTTATAAATTTCAGTGGGCAGCTGGCCAACTGAGCAATCTATTACTCTAATGGTACTTAAGATGTGACTCTGGGGTGATGCATGAGAATTTGCATGTCTAAACAATTCACAAATCATTCAAAACTTTTAAGGCTGGAAAGCAGACTTTTCTGTTCCCCTTGATTTACTTTAAGAAGCAAGTTTTTTTTAAGGATTCAAAAGTGCCCAAACTTAAGATTTTAAAACTCTCCATGCTTATATTCCAAAAATAATATATCATCCACTTTACTAAACCTCCTTGCTAAATAAGGGACCCCAAATTAAATATTAGATGCCAGTTGCCCCAAAATCAACCGGGGTACCTCTTCTCTTCCCAAATCAGAGTTATTTGGAATCCTGAGCGAATTCTAGCAAAGCGAATGCTGAAAGCTAGTCATTTATCAAAAGAGCAACATGTATTTGCTGAGTACCTGCTATGAACCAGGCTCTGTGCTGGGTACTTGAGTCATGTCTCACAGTGCTTGAAGATATGTATCTCAGGACAATTTCAGAATTTATCAAATGCTAGACAAATTAAAACAGCTAGAGAATATTGCTGCTAAAATTTAGATTCAAAATTATTTGACTTCTTGACCTAGATTGTGTGTGTGTGTGTGTGTGTGTGTATTTTTTTTTTAAGTGACTTTTAAGAAATTTACAATAATGTCATTCTAATGGAGTGAGGTTTGGGAGCTGATGAACACATTACAGTGTGTGCTATGGTGATGTGGAGTGGTTATGCACACAGATGGTATTGATTTTCGTTTCCTGTGAAGCTGAATCAACATGTTGTGGCTAATGTCTGTGTAATTTAATGTATTGAATGAAATGTACCACTGCTCTGTACATGGGGATAAAAGGTCCTACTTGGCTATGGTGTTCCTGTGCTCTCAAACCACAACAGACATATTTAACAGTCCTTTGTTATTAAAAATCAACGTAACAAATTATTTCCTGTTTCTTATAAAAGAGACGTAGTTTTTCTCTGATTAACTCATTTGTATTTTTTGTCACAGTAGAAGGAACACAACATCAATAGAATTTTTCTTAGACTAATGAGTTTTGCAGAGTATACTTCTTTCTGGTGTCAACAACATCATAGCATAAAGTGACTGAAAAGATTTATGGAAAGAGTCAACAAGCTAAGGCATCAGTACCAAATGAGATGATGTCCTCCCTGGACAATGGCAAGGGAAGCTGAGAGGGTCCTTCACTTTCTGTGCCCCTCTGACACCTCTAGTTGGTCTATCTCCCCGCAAGTGACTAAGGCTCTCGCAGCACTATGGGTGTCTGAAATCCCAGCCCCAACAGCACCTCACGAGGTACCTGTCTTCATAGCTCCCGTTTCCTCATCTTTTAAACAGGAGATAATTCCGTTCATCTCACCAACCTCACAGGACTCTTGTACTTTTGTGGGGAATTCGATAGATAACATGTGAGAACCCTCATAAAAGTATCAAGTGCAGTGCAAATATAGATCATGATTTAAATGGTACTGTTCTTATCACTGTTACTTGGTGTTTGAGGCATTTTCCTTCAAAATGATCCGCCCTCAGGACCATCCAAACTGCCATCCCTTTGAATTTGATTTGTCAGTGATTCAGTTATCCGGCTGCAGAACCTTACAATGTGAATGAATGATAATATTTAAAAGGGGACCAGAATGGAGAAAATTAGGTAACACTGTGAGAGAAAGTGCTTTTAGTGTATTAGTGTGCTGACTATTTTCCCACCATCAAACAGTGGGTAGTAACACAGTAAGAGAGTTTTTACTCTGCCCACTCAATTTCTGCCCTAGATTTCTTCAAGTAAGTGTCCTCCCTTGGGATTTTGTGATTTGAAATTGGGAGCAGGGAGAAGACTGAAGGGAAGAGAGGCTCTTTGTCTATGGCTACAGAAGAAGTTTAAGTAAGATTTTGAAGGAGGAGTCAAGTAACTGACTGAATGGGTG